TTTTTTAAAATCGTACCAATGATGAGTAATGTTGAATAAAAATACTGTTGATGCTGTAGGCATCAACACTATCTTTTGAGAATCAAAAATAAAATAAATATATTCTTACTAGATTATATCTAGATGTAACTGTGAGTTCCTATCCTTCAGTTTGTACAAACTTGACATTAACATAGACTGAACGGCCCAGAAAATTTTTACAATTTATTCAAAATAAATTGCTAAATTTATTTAATACTTAAAATTTAACAAAGGAGAAATCTTGGAGCATAAATCGACAGGAAAGTAGCAAGATAACACTTACTTTGTACCAACGCTCTTTCCTGAAATAATTAGTCACCCTGAGCAAGCTAGAAAAAGAAAATTCAGATTGGATGTTAATAATCCAGTATTATCAATTTTGGAAGTGTTCTCAGTCAAGGAACAGAGCAAAAAAATATAAAAGGACTACCGAAAGGTCATTAAGGTCATCCAGTTCAGTTCGTCATCATTTTCATGATAGTCTACTTCAAGAGTTCCTTCTTCCAAGAGTGAGACTGAACGTCCGCTTTTGCTTTGCTCGTTCATTATTCCCACTATTTGTAATTCGTCGTTCGACCAAATCACCATTACTAATATGGCGCGTTTCTCAGATTTCACATAACGATTGATTTACATCGATGATGACATCTGTTATGACTTCAAAACAATCGATGAGAAACCATCGATTGTTTTGAAGTCATAACAGAACACTGTAGCTCATACGCATTAAATACAGCAGGAGTGTGCCATTAAATGAGCTACGGGTGTGAAACGGCGTGTACGAATTCTACTGCAGAAGTGTAAGTGTATTGATGGTGTCAAAGATCGTGCATAGTTCAAACAGGGATCTTAATAAATAACAAAACATCATTGTAATTTAAAGTGGATAAAATGATGTTGAAATAGACAAATCAGTGAAATAATAATCGCAAATACGTTAAGTCCACCCATCGAAGCTCTGTTGTATCACGAAATCTTAAAAGAACACAACGAAGAATAAAATAAATGCTAAATTATTATTCTCTGTAGTGATCTATTAGTACGTTTATAATAATATTACATCTTCGATTTATTCTCAAGACAATATCTTCTACTCTAAATATAAACTATCGATTATTTCGATCTATACAATAATATTGATTTAATTTCGCAATACTCAAGATGGAAGGCAACTGCCTCTATTGTCTTCTTCATCCTACATTTTCGTTATCTATACCTTTTGGAGATATCCTTGTCGAACGATGTATCTGTCATCAGCTGACTCCAACACAATCTAATTTCGTATCAATTCATGCAAATTTCGTGCAATTGGTGATAATAAGCCACTCTCTGATGCTTTTTTTTCTCACCACTTTGCGACGAAAGACAACATTATCGCTTGCAGCCCAATTGTTAGAGATGAAAAAGTCAATTCTCATTATATGACAGGAATATTTTTTTGTGTTTCTTGGGGTTCCGTTCTCCTAATTTAAATTGGCAGAAAACAGAAGTTGCGCTTTAACATGAAGATACCCGATTACGAAGGAGAAATAGAAAAAGTACGATATTACCAACGTATTGCAAATTATACTATCGGAATCGCTTACGCTTTTCCGATGTGTTTGCTCACATTTGTCAATTTGATCGTATTCAAAGAAATTGAAAAAAATTCAAGCTATTCGAGGGCCATCGTCTGCTCTGTATTTTTCCAAATTGTCTCAATTTATGAGTCTACAATATGGATGTGGCATGCGCCTGTAGTCATACTAATTGGCATAATCATAAACGACAGATTCAAAGCTTTATCAGTGCAGTTACAACAGGCGAAAACGCAATGGCCAAAGAAGAATATCGACCGTTTGATATCGAAACACGTCGAATTTTGCGATGTAATCGAAAATATTAATGAAAAATGCAATAAATATGTATTCGCTTTATATGGGCTTATCCTCTGTCTTGTATCCTTCGTGATTTACACATCAGTATTTAGAACGGAAGTTCTTCATCTTCGTGTTATAATGTGGATTGTTACGATTGTTGTAACCATGATAATATTTTTCTGCGTGTTTTCAATTTCACGCTGCGTTTCTTCGGTAATTACAAGCAACAAGAAACATTTTTCATAAAATTTCTTTATTCTAATTTCTCGAAATCTACTTTCAGATCTATGATTCCTTTCAAGAAATCAGAAGAATTACAAGTGCTTATCTCTCATTGCAAGATAAGCTAAAGGTAGGACTATATAGATTACATTAATACTCAATAAATGATGGACTTTATATTATATCAACTTTTTATTGAACAGATTTTGAATTTCATGAAGAAATTTCAAGAAAATAAACTCGGATTCAGCTGTGGAGAAATTTCAAGAAAATAAACTCGGATTCAGCTGTTTAAATATTACAAGTCTTTGTAATATTTAAAGACATGCCAGTTAAGGTAAGAAAATTCTGACAACTAACAAATTTTATTTTTCTCACATAATTTGTGGAAAGAAATTATAAACATTTTATGGACATTTAGTCTTTATTGTGTATTTTTGAATTTTACATTTCTTCTCAGATGTATGAAAATTGGTATACAATATTCAATATGCTGCTGCAAATACGAGATGTGATTTTAGGAACAACATCGTCATCTTGTACATCAACACCTATTTGGAAACCTTCAGGCAACTTCAGTAATGGTATATCGAAATAAATATTTGAAATTCTGAGAAACTGGAGTAATTCTTTGTGTGTGGTTTCATTAGTTTTAGACTGACATTGTCCAAATGCACATTGTGAAATTTGTAGTAATTAGCAATTCTAATTGCAGTTGTTTCTAAAATAGTAATATACGTATAATATATAATAGTAATATATAAAATAGTAATACGGTTGTTCGACTATAAAAGATTATACTCTTTGGAGATATTTAATATTTCCACAGACCCTGTGCTAGAGTTTTGCCACCCGGGGCAAGACATGCATTTGATACCCTCTTATCCTCTACATAAAATGAAAAATTTTTGTTCTGAAATGCCTTTACCATTAAAAGTGTAATTACTTGTTTTCCGTCAATTAATATTCAACTCCCGAAGTGTAATATAAATAAAAATTTTAAAATATTAAAAGCAATAGCCTGATAATTTTGTATAAATTTATTAAAATTTTCCGCCCTAGGCAAATGTCTAATTTGCTCATACAGTAGCACCAGCCTGTATTTCCATAAAAATACAGTTGTTTTTTCATGGTTTCAAAATCTCTTACGACTTTGTGATGCTTTTGCATGTTTCAATATGTATATATACTTCTTTATTTTCTTTCTCTCGTTTTTAATTAGTAGATAAAACCATTGATATTAGTAGTTGGTTGTGAGTTTGCACCTAAACATGCTGGTCACGTGGAGTTTTCTGGGTTTTCTTTAGGTTTCTACCACCTATATAAGGGCCAATTTTTAACACATGTCCTCCCGGCAGGACCCTTTGGCATTTCGTCCATGTGTAGCGTTGTGTTATCCCATCATTTTACTCCCATTAACAAGGAAATGTAGTATTTTGCAAGTGTAGAATTATTGTCATTTTGAAGACAAATTTGCACTACCAATTTATATATATTATAAACATTTTATATATTCTGTATGTATCATACTCATCTATAATAGCTATAATTGATATACGTATAGCAATTATAGCATTTAGAGATGAGTACGATGTTGCATGCATTTAGTTTTGTGCAAAAGTTGAGAATATAGCTCTTAAGAGAATTATTGTATATTTTTAAAAATCACAAATAAAACTGTATTAAAAATCTTTGACTTTTTCTATTGGACTATACAAGCGATGTATTAATTATTGTATTTCTAATTTATATTTCCGTGAAATAAATAAACACAGTATTTTAGTACAGAAATAAAATCAAAAAGATCACACTTAAAAGAAATGACAAGTTCGCATTGTTCCGAAAGTTTCCCGTTATTAGATCTAGGCAATTGAAGAACTAGGCAACGTGGCGCCATCTAGTGGGAGGAAGGATGTAAATCTGGTTTTTTTTCTTAGAACTCTGATAACATTTCCGTAGTTCAACTGAAATTTATCAAACTCTGAAAAAATATCAAACAACTATGTTGCTTTATATTCCAAGAAACAGCATCCAAAAATATCAGAATACTTTTTGTTATTAAGCATCAAAGAGGAAAATGTCGACACTTTCGTTTTTTGAATATAGCTTTCTTCAGAGTTAATTATATTTTCCAAAATATAATTTATGAACATGCCAGGAATCTTCTGAGCATTCTGACATCAAATTTATCAAAAGCTAGCGTGGGAATTTCTTTTGAAAATTCGAACAAAAAAGTGCAAATGTTATCACAGTAGCTTGAGCTATGCCAAGGCAACAAGCACATCTTTACGCAGTGCAAATTATTTACTACATTAACGTTTTCGGCTGACTTTACTAAGTCAAATCTGGAATGTTGGTTTATTTACAGGCAAATGTTGATCGCGAAACAATTGAGAAAGAGATAAGCTTACATTTTCTGATAAATCAAAAGACAAAGATTAGCCTGTCGTAATGCGCGAGCACAGTGAAACAGAAATTGCACACCTTCGGTCAATCAGGCACCAATTTAAAAAATTAATTAGTAAAAATTTATTGTCAAAAAGCAGATATTTTTACCTTAACCCCTTCTTGTCCAGTTTTTTAAAAAAATTTTTAATTAAGCATAAAAAATACTTAAAACTGAAAAAAAAACGAAAGAAATGCGTTAATTTTGGTTAAAAAGCTTCATCATTTAGTTTCCTTTGTTTCGCCTTTCTGTGAAATTTAACACTTATGAGTCATTGTTTACACATCTGGATGACCTTGAGAACAGCTGGTGTCTTATTTCCCGGGACATTCTCATAGACGTCTCGGGAGGAGAAGGGTTTAAAGTAGGGTGACTAGAAACTAAACCTATATTTTTAAATATTTTTAAAAAATTATAATTTTTATTGCGATTTCCGACCCCCGCTAANTAAAGCATGAAGCGTGCGTCATTAAAAGTTGATTAAAATCCCTATAAAATTTTTTCTCACGGGAAAAAAATTTTGAAAAAATTTGGGGACCTAAAATTAATTAATCCAGTTCTATAATGTGCTTGTAGTCGAATTCAGTCAAAAAATTTTAATTTCATTATAATTTATTGAAGATTTAAAATTTTTAATATTAGAAGGTAATTAGCATAAATTACAAGGTATCGTGTTTCGTCTTCGCTCCTGTTCGATTTTATTGTTCTAGACACGCGCTGATGTTTGTTTCTAATTCCACTCATGTTTTCGCTTTTATTTCAATCTCCTCTGCTTTGGTTACAGAAGGTGGGGAGACAAGCGTCACGTGTCATGGCTTACCTCACTTTTTACCACTAAAATTTCCTTACCTTGAAAATTTTATTTTTTTTCTCAATTTTAATTATTGGTAACTGTCTTTTTTTGATTGATTGCGGCTATTTTTAGTATCATCACTTGGGGGGAAGTTTGAAAATTGAAATCAGAGATCACGCGCGCCATAGTGCCTATTTGACACCAATAATTAAATAAAAATAATGAAACGCTTTAAGCAAAAATTGAATTGTGTTTTTTCTCTTTCAGATGGAGAATACATTTCACGATATACAGCAATTTACAGGATGTGATATTATTTGTATTAAACAGCAACAATTTTTCTTGTGAATTTTTTGGATTGTGGCTGGTGTGTTAAAGCGACGTACAAGAAACGGAAGCAAAGTTTTTCTTTGTACATGCGTAAGATTTTTATATTTATTTAAAACGTATATTAATTTTTCTCTATTCGCAGGTATTTTAGATGAAAATGTTACATTTTTGTTCTTCCAGATAAAATTCTGCTATCTTTATTCTGTCTGACAAAGCAAATGACATTAAAATTACTAACAGATTTACTTTCCTATGTTCATTTCATATCGAGAAAAGAATTTCAATGAAGAAGATAAGAATTTCTCCAATATATCTTTTATATCGCTATCAATAGAATATATATATTGAAACTGGAATATTTAATTATATTTCCAACTTATTATTTTCCAATATATAAAAAATCAACGATATCAAATTAATTCTCATGTTGAAATTCATGAATTTCTGAGAAAAAAAAAAACTATTTGAAAGTAGTGGTCACTGTAATCCGACATATGTCGGACCGGCGAGTGTCGGATTACGGCGGGCATCAAATTACTGGCTTTTGTATGTATATACTGTACAATAAACACGCGCTTGCTTCACATGTTAGTTTATCGTATTAATCACAATTGACAACTGAAAGTATACATGTATTTCCGTCTCTGTGGCATACATCCACAAGTGACAACACAAAACTTATATGCGCCCCGCCCTGTCGGACTGGCAAGTACCAAGGTATAGAGACACTACTGTATTATATATTAGTATTCTAATATAATTATTATAATATTTAAGAACAAATCCACGTGTTTTCTTGTATGACACCAAGAAAGACACCATTGAAATATATGTATTCGGATAGTATCTACATACTATTCGAACCAGAGTGCCGGATAGCCTAGTATCTATTCGCGTTTTCCATGAACTATAGAGGGCACTGCATTTTTACAAAATGGCTACCATATCTCGGTCTCCTGTAACTAGTAATGTAAAATTAATCATATATTATTGTCCGATATAATGATATATGCTGCTTGTAGCTGTTTATCGAGAAATTTTATAGGAGGAGAACAATTATTGCTAGCGAGACACATCATTGTGGTATCGAAACAAATGAGCGAGATCGTTTTACGCATATTTGTGCCCTTTGTGTTAAAAAACCTCATATTTGTCATTTGTCCTATCAGGGCCGAATTTACATATAAAAAGCTATGAAAGCTGTTGCTTAGGGCCTCGACTTTCAAGGAGCCTCAAACATTTGTACAAAAAAAAAAATTGAAGTCAAATTTTGTAATAAACATTCTTTTATGAACCAACAAAATATACTTTACTTTAATTCTTTTCATGATTGACTTCTAAAATTGTGAATGGTTGGTAAGGGACCTTGCATAGTTCAGCTTAGGGCATCGAAATGCTTAAATCCGACCCTGTGTCCCACACAAAATTGCTGGAATTTTAAACTTTAAGAGAATATGTTTTAAAATTGACAGCATAATTTGTTCATGTAAAACTGGACAATCAGGAAAATGCCAATTCTTAACAGTCTAATCTACTCTTTCAGAATTCAGAGAAGTTCATAAATATAACCGACCAATTTTCGAATAATCATGTTTTTCATGTAGGAATAGACGAAAGCTTATATTAAGCTCCCACAAGGCTTTTAAATTGCAATTTGGAACGCAACAGAAAGCTTTGCTTTTCCTATTGTTATTCATCTTTACTGCTGATAATACACAAGAATGAATCAATCGACCCTGATAGAATAGTTTTGTTTTTAAACACCAGAGAGCGAGCATCCGGTGAAAAATGCGAACAGGATCGAATCTAGTAAGGTTGAATACTTCCTGGAATTTTTAGGCTACCNATTGTTATTCATCTTTACTGCTGATAATACACAAGAATGAATCAATCGACCCTGATAGAATAGTTTTGTTTTTAAACACCAGAGAGCGAGCATCCGGTGAAAAATGCGAACAGGATCGAATCTAGTAAGGTTGAATACTTCCTGGAATTTTTAGGCTACCAGTAATGGACTTGCTAAAAAGGTCCTCTTAGTATACACAGGGC